CAACATGCTTAAGTGATTGGCCAAGCAGTGATTTAAACCATATAGCTTCTGAGTGATTATTTTGAGTCTGGGCAGCTGGGAACAAACAAGGGGCCTCCTACAACAGGAGTGTCTCTCTTCTCTTAGCTTCACTCTGGCAGAGAACACAATGATTGTGACAGAGATAAAAAAAAAAAAAAGGCTTCATGTGAGGGGACGCTAGAATGAAAATGGACCCTTGACCTCCTTTTGGCACTGCTGTGGCTAGAACCCAGGACCTTCTGCACTCTGGCGGGCACTCTGCCCTGGTTGTTCAGTTCATGGAGAAATGATGCCTAGGTGTCATCTTCTTAGGGTGGCCTAGGGATAGTCCTGTGGGTACGGGGGAGATTCTGGTCCCCAGGTGGGAGGCTGCAGGGTCCCGTTTTAGACCAATATGTGCTCTCTTGGAAAGAAGGCAGCCAGCGACTTCAGAATAGACAGGCTCTTTAATCACACAGTGAACACTGACAGAGTTGACGTCAAGGGGGCCAACAATCACGTTTCAACAAATCTTGAAGGACGGAGATCATGTGGATCATTCTTACTGAGATACACAGACAATTAGAAAATGCATGGGTGGGAAGTGGGAAATGCACATTTAATAACCCATGGGTCATGCGTCCCCTCACTCAGTCATCCCAACAGTTTGTGACACAGGCCCTCACATGCGGGGGACTGAGGTTGGGAAGACAACAGAATCTGCCCTGATTCCTGCAGTGGTGGAGCCAGGGTGAAGCCCAGCTGTGTGGCTGTTGAGCCACGCCTCTGAGAGAGAGAGAGAGAGAGAGAGAGAGAGAGAGAGAGAGAGAGAGAGAGAGAGAAAGAGAGAGAGAGAGAGTCCTGACTGACTTGCTTTGGTGGCCCTGATCCTGGACTACTGCATAGAGATCCACTTCCCTTCTGAACTTGCCCTCCTAGAGTTCCCTCCTTAGACTCAGATGACATACATGTCTTGTATGGCAGAGATGCAGTTCAAGGTGGGCCTTCCCACAGAGCTTGGAACTCTGGGAATACTACCTTTCTTCCCCAAGATTTATCATGTGGTTCAACACGACTAGCAAACAAAGGGAAACAAAGAGAAGCCACTTCCAGATCGTTCCCCGGCTTGCTCTAATGCAGATTAAACAGACTCCGTATTACAGCATGTCATCAGGCAAGCATGAGCACCAATATTCAACAGGACAGGATGCAGAGTCTGTGTGTTTCTTAAATTTGGGGTGATGGCCTCAAAAAAAAAATAAAAAAAAAACCCAGATGACTAAAGTACCCATATTTGGAGCAAGTTGGTAGTTCATGGCACAGGAGGTAAGAGGCAAGACCAAGCTGACCTCAGACCTCCCTAGGAACATTCCCGCAGCTGAGCTGACCAACCCAGTGCCCTCTGGTCTGCGCAAATTACAGCGTGGCCCCATTAATAGTCCACAGCCTGTCTCCACCTCCTCAGGGTGTTTCCTGACAAGATACACTCGCAAACCCTCAAAGGCGCTCAGCTTCTGAGGGACTCCTTGGTGTCTGTGTCTTTCTCTGGGTTCTGAGGACAATACTGTTGGCCCGCATGGGCTCCTAAGAGTAACAGGACGGAGGGCCCATTACTGTTTCTTATACAGCGGCGAGAGTGAAAAGTGAGAAACCAGAGAGCGACCTGGTGTTGTACCTCACCAGAGGCAGGTGGGGAACACCCGGAGAACAGGTGTCATCAGGTGGAGAACACCAGGAGAGCAGGAGGCAGGTGGGAAACACAGAACAACAGGTGTCAGGTGGAGAACACCAGGAGAACAGGAGGCAGGTGGGAAACACAGAACAACAGGTGGCAGGTGGAGAACACCTGGCAGGAGAACACCAGGACAACACCAGAACAACAGGTGTCAGGTGGAGAACACCAGGAGAACAGGTGGCAGGTAGAGAAGAGCAGGACAACACTGGGACAAACAGGTGTCAGGTGGAGAACACCAGGAGAACAGGGGCTTGCATTCAAGAGGCAACGCTAGCCCACGATGAGGGAGCGGACTTACCCAGTCAAGTCTTCACATCCAGGCTTCACTGGGTTCAGCCTGGGGCTGGGGGCTCAACCAGTCCCACCCCATGACTTATTCTCTTAGTTCAGTCTCAGAAAGTTAACTTGCCAAGGGTCGGGGATGTGGCTCAGTTAATATAGTGGCCTAACTTATACAGCAATCTCTGTAAAGTCAGTGCGGAGCAGCAACCACAGATCCATGGGTTTTCCTTGAGGTGAGCACTGGACACCAAAAATACTGGGTGTGGGGGCCATGGGGGCTGTGGTGGGAGTCGGGGCTAGCAATAATGGCACCTATTGCTCCTGATTCCACGTGGTAACTATGGCTGGAACAGAAGAAATGCCCCAAGCCAAGAGAGCGAGCTCTGGCAAGCAGCTAGACACTGTTCTTATTTGAAGTGAACAGGCCCTGGGACAGAGGCGCGGATGACTGTCATCGGGGACAGATCCTCAGCACCTAATACTTCACAGTCATTAACTCTGGGCAGGTTTGATCCTCAGCTCTGTATAAAGACCAGGCATAGTGACAATGGGTGTCACTCGGAAGGAGGGTCATCCTCACACAGTAGGTTCAAAGCCAGGCTGGGATACAAGTCTTTGACAAAAAAGAAAAAAAGGAAGGAAGGAAGGAAGGAAGGAAGGAAGGAAGGAAGGAAGGAAGGAAGGAAGGAAGGAAGGAAGGAAGGAAGGAAGGGAGGGAGGGAGGGAGGGAGGGAGGGAGGGAGAGAGGGAGGGAGGGAGGAAATGTCAGCTTCCCGTGAGCTAGTGATTTGTTCGCAAGCTGCTCTGAGCTGTAAGATCAGCGATTCCAAGAGCAAAGGGCCCAGCTGCCCAATCTGGAGTCTGATTACCCCCTCTCAATCTCTGAGAAAGGATCCTGCCACTAGGTTACAAGTATCCTTGGGCGGCTCCTACGTGGAAACTCGGTTCGAGTGACCTACAAACTGGCCAGATGTGGGGGGCTCCCTCGAATGAGCGCTGGTCCGATGCCTTCCACGAAGCTGTTCCATTGATCGTAGTCTTCCTTCAGGTCTGGGTGGGCACAAACAGGAAGAGGGTCAGCAGACCACTGCAGAGTCAGGTCAGCTTCCACAGGGTCCCTGGGGCACCCTAGAGAGGAGCACCTGGGATACCAAAAGGACTGGGTCTGGCGGCCTCGTGGGCAGCTGAGGAGCGAGACCCGGCAGTCAGGGCAGCTGAGGAGCGAGACCCGGCAGTCAGGGCAGCTGGGTCTATCTACTTAGGCAAGCCCGGAGAGGCTGTGGTAGCATGTTGGCTTCCATTTGAGCAAGAGGGAGGCAGTGTCGTTCAGCAAGAGACAGAGCGAGGGAAGAGGTGCTGGAGGTGTGGGGAGGAAGAGGAGGTGTGTCAGCTTCCAGGAGGGAAGGTGGGGGACAGGGAGGAGGAAGAGGAAGCGTGGGTAGTTAGCAGGAAGGGAGCGGGATTTCACTGAGAAGGCGGCATCACTGGGCTCTGGAGGTGTTAGGCGGCAGCTGAGAGGCTGCTGGGCCCCCTCTGGTTCATTTTAGTCCCTAGTGACAAGACACCTAGAAGCTTCTTTCCTCTGAAAGGCCAGCTGGTGAAGATACAGCATCTTTACTCAGACTCTGCTCTCTCTCTTCTCACCTGGGTCACCACAAGTACTTCCCACACTCTTGGTTCTCAACTCTCCGCCTCACCCATCCTCCGCTTGTAGCCATCCTCCTGCCTGGAACCTAGGCTCCTCGTGGACTGGGGGCTCAGATCCATGCCCTTCAGCAAACCTATAGGCTGCTGCTCCTGACTTCTGCCTACTCACTCCTTTCCCCATCAACAACCCCCTGTCCTGAGCTCAGGAAGTGGAGGAACTTCCCACACTACCAGGCCTTCTGTCTTAGAAGAACCCTGTCCCTTCCCTCCCGATGGCCTTTCTTCATCAGTCGGGACCAAAGCCAGAATGGTCTTGTCTAGGCAGCCCCTTCCCTGACTTTTCTCCCTTAGTCAGGTCTACCCTCTGGGTGCTCCTAGGCAGTCACTGAGTGCTGTGGTCAAAGACACTGTATACGACACTGCGGCACACAATGAAGGGTGTGGTGATATACTGTTTGTGATCTAGCAATAAAGCTTGTCTGAAGATCAGAGTGCAGAGCTAAGCCACTAGTTAGCTAGAGGGGCCAGGCAGTGGTGGCACACACCTTTAATCCCAGCACTCGGAGACAGAGGCAGAGGGATCTCTGTGAGCTCAAAGCCACCCTTGGCTACATTACATTGATACAGTGTCAACGAGAAACAGAGCCAGGCAGTGGTGGCTCACACCTTTAATCTCAGTACTTGGGAGTCCCTTTTTTGTTTGTTTGTTTGTTTGTTGTTTGTTGAGACAGGGTTTTTTTTTTTCTGTAGCTTTGGAGCCTGTCCTAGAACTCCCTTTGTAGACCAGGCTGGCCTCGAACTCACAGAGATCCGCCTGCCTCTGCCTCCCAGTGCTGGGATTAAAGGCGCGTGCCACCACCGCCTGCGAGTCCCATGCCTTTAATCCCAGCACTAGGGAGGTGGAGACAGGAGTGACTTGGCTGGGCAGAGAGAGGAATATAAGGCGGGAGGAGATAGGAGCTGGGTCGGATGCAGTCTGAGAATTTGTAGAGACAGGAGCACCCCTTTGGTCTGAGTATTGGTAGAGGTAAGAACTCTAGTGGCTGCTGCTCTGCTTCTCTGATCCTTCAACTTTCACCCCCTAGTATCTGACTCCAGGTTTTTATTATTAAGAACAATTAGAATTCGTGCTACAGAAGGGGCATGGGCTGTGGGGCTACAGTCAGGCTGCATGCTGGCACTGCCACCAGAACCAGATAACCTGGACAAATTACAGATTAAAGAAAATTTCTAAGCTCTAATATATTCATCTAAAACAATGAAGCTAATAAATAATCAAAGAGACTACTGGAAGGACCATCTCCAGATCAGACACGACAGACAGTGCATCTAGAATACCGAGCGTGACAAGTACACGAGCAGACTAAGTCCCCAGCAAGCTTGCTCCAGCCTTGACTCCTGCCACCTCCTCCTCTGCTGGTCTCTCCTTTCAGCTCTCTGCTTCAAAGGGAGCTGGTCACACCATCATGGGCTCCCTTGCCACCGTCAGCTTTTTTTTTTTTTTCTTTTTGAGACAGAGTCTTACACTGTAGACCAGGCTGGCCTTGAACTCACATAGGATCCACCTGCCTCTGCCTCCCAAGTGCTGGGATTAAAGGCATGCACCACCACTCGTAGATGCCCTGTTGCCTTTAATCATGGGCTCCTATAATGACGTGTGCCCAGGGGAAACAGGAGGTGTGGGCTGAGGATCGGGAGCAGCAGCCACTCAAGCCCTGGGAAGTAGGTCCACCCCTTTCTCTCAGGAGCAAAGGCATGTCTCTGAGCACCCTGCTAATCTCTAAACTCAGGTAGGAACAGTTCTCTGCTCTTAATTTGCAAGGTGAAAAGAGCAAATACAACCAGAATTGCAAATTTGCCTCAAAGCAGCAATGCATTCTTAACAGGGCAGGCGTATTTTAAACATAAGCACAATCCAAACCAAATGGGTTGCACACATGGTGGGAAACAGGAATGTATCCAGGCTATGCAGGGGAAGATCCGTGTCCACAGCCCCTGTCTACTACAGTTCCAGTCAGGGCATGTCTCTTTAAAAGAGGCCCTGACAAATTGCTCCCAAAGGAAGGTGACAACAGACTGCATGGGGAAATTGAACAGGGAACCACTGCAGGTCCCCAGGCCATTAGCCTAATGAACAGAGGACATTAAAAGTGACCACAAATATCTAAAGAGCTGCCATGTGCTACCTGAAGCTTCACTGGTCAGCTCTGGGGACAACCAGAGCAGCTGTGTGTATGGACGTGCATTTGCGTGTGTGTGTGTGTGTGTCAGTAATAAGGTATCAGATCTCGCTGGAAGATTACAGTAGTGTGTATATGTGTGGCGTGTGTATGTGTGTGTGCACATATGTGTGTACGTATGGGTCTGTGTGTGAATAAGTGTATGTGAGTGTCGAGTGAGTGAGTGTGTATGTGTGGAGTGTGTGAGTGTGTGAGGGGCGGATAAGGCATCAGATCTTGCTGTGAAGTAGGTGCAGGCAAGCCGGGCTGCCTCCTGATGAAAGTGGCTTGGGAGGGGTCAGCTTCATGAGGGTCATGGTGCTTCCCCTCTATGCTGGCTGCACTGACAGGGACATGTGATCATGAAAGCTCCAGGCTGGGGCTGGACGGTGCCCCACAATGTATTTCGGGAGGCAAAGATGAGCTGACACAACCAAGTACCTCTTTTGGGAATCTAGTGTTAATAAATAATCATAGTAAATACATAAGTAAATAAAACAAAGTCGTCACTACCCCCAAAGTTTACCCCCCCTACAGTTGTGAGCAGTAGAAGCTGAAGAGGAAAGCTGGGAGCCCAGAGAGAGAGAACCAGCCACAGGTGGCCTGAGCTGAGCTGTGACCCACAGGAGAGAGAACCAGCCACAGGTGGCACAAGCTGAGCCATGTTCTGAGGAAGCAGAAAGTGAGCAGACACTGCAGGACAGAAAAAAAAAGAGCACAGAAACAATGAAAGAGGCTGAGGAAGACATGAAAAGGAAGACACACACTGAGCCTGAGGGGCAGAGAAAGAAAACCACATCCATCCTTGATTGGGTCACCCACTGGGTCCAGGTGTATCTCAGAAACTAACTTACAGGCTTTCCCTTCCTTCCTTCCTTCCTTCCTTCCTTCCTTCCTTCCTTCCTTCCTTCCTCCCTCCCTCCCTCCCTCCCTTCCTCCCTCCCTCCCTTCCTCCCTTCCTTCCTTCGTTCCTCCCTCCCTCCCTCACTCCCTCCCTCCTTCCCTTCCTTCCTTCCTTCTTCTTTGTTTTTTGGTTTTGCTTGTTTTTTGAGACAGGGTTTCTCTGTGTAAAGCTCTGGCTGTTCTAGAACTCACTCTGTAGACCAGGCTGGCCTTGAACTCACAGAGATCCACCTGCCTCCGCTTCCCAAGTGCTGGGAATAAAGGTGGGCACCACCACCGCTTGGCTCACTTTTTTTTTCCCTTGAGGTAAACTAAACTTCTAGTCTTTGTGGCCCAAAAAAGTTTAATTAGACCATTAGCTCCTTTTTACAATATTTGTGTATGTGTGTGTGCGTGTGCACATGCCACGCAAGTGTGTGAGGTCAGAGGTCAGCTCTCTCTTCCACCTTTGTGTGGGTTCTGGGGGTTGAACTCAGGTCGGCAGGCTTGAGGCACAAGCACCATTTACCCACAGAATAATCTCACCAGACCCAAGACGACCACCCCAAACACACAGATCCCCAGTGGAAAAGCCAACTTGCTTGTCCACCAAAGAAGACACCCTCTCTGGGTAGAGATAACACCAGGGACCTCAAAAGGCTTTGCTATTTAGCTGCTCTATGACTTATGACATTGGTCATAATCCTTCCATGTTTGGTTTCTTTAAAAACAACTTCCATAAATTTTTCCCAATTATTACCATAAGGAGCCCACAATGCATAAAGTAAGTTTGGGGACCAAGGTGGTGGAGGAAAGAGAGGAAGATGTACTGTCCCAGCTCAGAAAGGTCAGGTGACCAGGCCGGGCTCATCCTCTGGTTAGTCAGGGCCTAGGTGAGCAAAGTTTCAGGAAATGACTCTTCAGTCACGTGCCATGACTCTCCTGGGCCCTCGTCATGTCATGAAAGAACATGGTGCTGCGGGAGACCCAAGGGACCCCACGTGTGCTCCATGAGCCCCAGCTGTCTCCTTACCAAGGTGCTTCTGCAGGAAGGCCAAGATGGCCCGCACCATAACCTCCTGACCTTCATAAGGGTCCAAAGTCCCACGAGTGTGACTGGATAAGAATTTAGCAAGCAGGTTGCCGTTCACGAAAGCAAAGTCGGTTTGACTCCGATGAACAGCTCCGCTAGAGACAAAGAGAAACGACAGGTAGGAGGGTTGAGGTCGGGCACACGTGTGTGCCTACCGTGTGCAAGGTGCTGCCCGTGTGTCGTGTGATTCTTCTAGCAACCTTGTCAGGAAGTACTTTCCGTGCGACAGAGTCTGAGAAGGAAAGATGTGACATTGGACAGAGCTAGGGTTGGAACCAAGGTGTGTGCCTGGCTGCACCTGGCTGGACATCTAGATCGCCATGCCTGACTATACGGGGAAGCAGAGTGACCCCGTTAGAGGGGAGCTGGGAGTGGAAGGTGAGGTTCCCGGTACCTGCTCTTCCTATTACATCACACCACAGCTTTTATCCAGGGACCATGAAACATTTACCCTCGCTGCCAGAACTGCACCCAGGTTGGTCTTGAACTTTCCATGCCCCTGCCTCAGCTCCCTACGTGCTGGGATTACAGGTGTGCACCAACAGGATCAGCGTGCTTGAGTGACTTTTAGAAGAAGGGCTCATGTTAGGATAACCTCTGTGAACTGGATGATCATGGAGATTCTACAAATCCCCCCAACTGTCAAAGCCTTCTCTAGCCACGGTTTTCAAATCCCCATAGGAGGCTAGAGATGTCTGGAATCCACCCAGACCCAAAACACCCATTTTCCAGAAATTACTAAGTAAATCCTACCATGCAGCTACATAAACTCTGTGGGCGGGCCTAAGCAGAGAAGAGAGACACATGAAACCCTACAGGAATTGTGACATAGGGATTCTAGCAACATTTAGATGCTCTTTGAACATAGAGAAAGTTCTGGATAACCTAGAAGAAATGAAGGGAGACCCAGCTGATTAAAAAATGAACAGGAGGCGGGGGTCGTGCCTTTGGGGCATACTTACAGGACAGTCACAATCCTGGACTGGTCGTCCTGGGCACATATCTTCCTCATCAAGTTGACGCTCTCAACTGTCTGGAATTTCTCAGCGTTGATAAAGAACACAGGGCCCCGGGCCTTGGGGTAAAAGTCACGTTCCAGAGGGAACATCCAGGCATCCAGGGCCACAGCGCACCTGGGATAAAGCAGACATTTGGAGCTGTCACTGAAACCCAGGCAAGAATACTTAGGGTGGAGGAAGATGGAAAGGGACTCTCCTTTAAAACCGGCGGACGACTCAGAAACCCACACCCTCCTAAGACAATCTTACACAGTCCTCTTTGCTTGTCCCCAAAGAGCCATCTAGAATTTGCACTCCCCCAGAGCAAGGGTCAGATTTCCTTCTCTGGATCTACCCTCAGGTGACACACTCCAGCTCTGCGGAATGTCAGCTCACTCAATCACTGAATTCACTCAATAGTCACTGAGTGGCCACTGTGGCCAGAACTCTCTGGATGCAGAAATCAGTGAGAAAGGCCGTACATCTCAGGAGCTCCCAGGACACCAGGGGAGAGCGAGACACTTTGAAGGTATCAGAACCACAACTCGGAGCTCTGACGCACAGGATGCTACGTGAGCCCAGAGCCTGTGTGGCAGAAAACCCATAACCTTCCTGGTACCAAAAGCAGAACCATGGCACTGAGTCAGAGGTACACCCACTCCACCTCCATCTCAGCAGGGGACAGCTACTGTCCACCTAATGACAGGTGCAACCGCAAAGCTCCGTCTCCCCTTTCCTTGCTCTCATACATCACCAAGGCTTGACAATTTAAATGAATCTGATTCCATCCGTGCTCCCCAACTCAATCCGTGCTCCCCATTCTCTACCCTCATGTGTATTCATCCTCTCTCCAATTTGCTCTCCCTAGGACAGCATCCACCTTAGCCCTTTGAGCTGCTCTGTTCTATCACACAGTCGCCAGGAGGTTCTTTAAAATCTAAGACTGACTGTGCTCTGTTTAAAATCCTGTAATAGGCCGGGCGATGGTGGCGCACGCCTTTAATCCCAGCATTCGGGAGGCAGAGGCAGGCGGATCTCTGTGAGTTCGAGGCCAGCCTGGTCTACAAGAGCTAGTTCCAGGACAAGAACCAAAAGCTACGGAGAA